ACATTTTACCGTATAACACAAGTTCGAATGATATAATTTAAAGGTGTAAAATATGTTAACTATATGTTTAAGATTATAAAATATATATGTATAAAGATAATTTTAAGTCAGATTAAAGCATTTGATCATGTTGAACACGGTGATTTCTTTTATGTGGTGTAGAACAAACTATCGATGTGTGATTTTTAACACACTAGAAATTTATGTTTACTATAACAAAAAGAAATTCAATTTTCTTTTTGCCAATATTTTTAGTAGCTTTTATGTGTTTTGTTTTATCTTTTTGTCGTCCAATGGTTGAGTTTCATCATAACATACACTCTTAATCAAGCCTTGTCGAAGTTTTTCTTCGCAAGCTGTTGGACTCAATATACTTTACTTGGAGCACACATAAAAAATTAGGGTTGTTCTTTCCACTCTATATGTTCTCCTACACCACTGTAAAAAATCTCAAATGTCTCTAGCATCTCCATCTCCATGTTCTGGAGATGTATCTCTCCTTAAAGTGATTGAAGATAACACTCATCAAAACACTTGTGCGTGTAAGACTTTTTCTTCAATAACATTATTTGTTTCTTAATATATTTTCTCTATTTTACATCAATATTGAATTAAAACCACTCAAAGGTACAATATCCATGCTGGTCAGAACCAACACAACACAAGTTCATACATATTTATCATCTATGAACCAACACAACACAAGTTCTTTTCATTCAAAGCCTTTGCAGAATCAAACGAAACCTCTCATATCACTTCCAATTAGGCCACTCTGTCATTGATATTGATCATGTTGTAGACAACCTTAGAGACAACCTTGCAGAATCAAACAGAACTATCCTTTCCAATCCACTTTACGGATGTGCATCTCCGAAATCCGGAAATGCATCTCCGGACAATTTTTTAGACAAAATATAGGGTGTCTCACTTGCAACACCTTTGTTAGTATGTTCTTCGATGCATTCGGATCTCCGAACACAGCAAATGAATTTTTGAATTTTCAGAAGTGTGAAACACCATAAGAAGAACAACCCCAAAAATCAAGTGCAAATAATGATTTTTTCCACTATATCCCGAGACCTCCTGCATTTTCTTTTTGGTCAGCATATTTTGATATAATAGAACTGATACCCCTATTTGGTAGTTGAACTTTGGTTAATCAATCCAAGTATCATGCATAGTAAAAGCTAATTTGAACTTTACACTTAAAATTTAAAACCATACTTGATGTTTTAACCTTTTCAGACAATCTCGGTCCTGCCCTTTGTTGTTGACGTAGAGTGGAGACTGAGTCGTGCTTTTCCCATTGTGTTATGTGCGTAACGGTCGACCGGGCTCTTACCAAAATCACTGGTCTTTATATGCTTGGTGGATGGGTTCTCACCCATATCATGGCAGTCGGGTACTCACCAAGATCGCGCATAGGTCTTTAAGACCCACATAATGCAAGCATAAAAAAATCAGATAAGTTAAAAGCAAAAAGGACTAAACCAGATAGATAAATAGCACACGGTATTATGAACTCATACTCTCACATTTAACTAAAGCACGCAACAGTACTAAATAAGCACCCCAAATGATGAGAAGAACCATCCAACAGTTTCCTCTCATAAACTTTTTGGTTAAGTGGCATGACACCTTTAAGCCCCTTTAACATGGAGTTTTAAAACTTGATAAGAAATGGGTGGAAATAAACTCACAAAACCGAGGAGAAGGGTGATGACCAGGAAGGCATATGCAAGGTACTACCATTTTTCGGTGCAGCAGCTGGCACTCCAGACAGCAGTAACAGTGGTCACATGGCAGAGGCAATCAGGCATCATGGTGGTCGGAGCCTGCTCCAGAAACATGGAGGTTAGAGTTTTACAATTTTGGTTTCTTGATGATTAATTAACCATCAGTCGAGGAAGGAGTCTTGGTTAATTCGCCCATATTCCAGATCTTGTTGACCGGTATTGCTATGATGAGCCTGTTGTTGCCACGGTGGAACATCTTCACCATTTCAGGCTTGATACTCGATAGTTGTGTTTGGTACAAAATAGTTTGGTTACTCGGTCATTCAGAACATAACCTGCAGACCTGGTGCTCGGAAAAGGCTAAATTATAAAGCAATGCTTCAAAGCTAATGAAGAAGCATAAGTATACTTGAAAAAAATGGTAGTGCACGATTCTGTTCATTATATAATCCTTATATTTTACACCAGAACTCAGATTCACAAACTTCTTAGGCGATTAAACATCTCGACTGACACTTTAAACAAATCGGAATTACAAAATGAAGATGCTAATGAACTCCAAACAGAAATTTCAGGAAGTTTCCCTTGGCTAATCATGTCCTCCAACCACATAACAGCTTCGTATTGCCGACCTAAGGAACAAAGACCCTCAATGAGCAAATTGTAACTATTGGCACAAGGCCAATATGATTTAATTGACATTTGCTCCAAAAGTTTGCTTGCTTCAAGATAATTTCTCTCATGACAAAGCATCTCTAGTAAAATGTTATACGTTTCTTTCTCGCCCATGCAACCTACCTTTTTCGACATCTTGTTCAAGCTCTCGAGCACTAATGTCGAACTTCCAACATTACTAAGGGTTTTCAAGAGAATATTATAAACCCTAGCATTTGGTAGACAATTGACTTCCACCATGTCCTCTTCAATTACCTTGATCGCTTCATCGACCTTATCAACCTTGCACAATGCAGCTACCTTTGCCTCAAAAATCAAATGTTTTGGTTTAAAGCCTTTGTTTTTCATTTCAACGATAACTTCATCTGCCTCGTCTATCTTACCTTCTTCGTATAGATCAACCGCCATGGCATTATAACTAGTAGTGCTAGGAACTGAACCCCTTAGCAAAGCTTCGTGAATCCACCGTTTAGTAACTTCCGCATCTTTACCATCACCACACTGACTAAGATCAAGTTAGTTATAGCATCGCTTTGGAGATTTAAGTCCTTTCCTCAAAATCTTACCAAGAATTTCTACAGCTTCTTCAAACTTTCCATCATCACATAAAGCATCCAAAACAGTCCTATAAATTACAACATCCTCGCCATTACCTTTCAGAGAGATTCTCCAAAACATTGAATACAATAAATGAGTAGCCTCATGTAACCTCTTATCCTGACACAATCCCTTCATTACAACAAGATAACTATCTATATCAGGATAACAACCTTGATAATCCATCTCTTGAAATATCTGCAACGCCAAATCCGATCGACTCTTCCGACACAAAGCATACATAAGCAAATTCAACGCCCGAACGCGAGACTTCACTTCCCAACCACAAGAACTCTCAACAAAAAGACCATGAGCATCTTCAAGCTTACCCTCATTCACCATTATTTCCAAAAGGGTATTGAAATATTGCGTCCAATTCACACAGTTAAACTGAGGAATATTCTTATATAGAGAGATTGCTTCATCTGCTAGCCCTTGTTTTGCATATGTCTTAATTGCAGACACAAAGACAGAATCTTTGCACTCACATGAATCTTGTTTCATTTGCTCAATCAAATCACTCATCTCTTTGAGTCTACTTGATGATCCAAGGATAGCGATCATGGTGGCATAAACAGGACCATTGTGGGAATATTTAGGGTATTTTGATTTGGCTATGTTGAAAATTTCCAAAGCCTTTAAAGGGTTATTTTGAGTTCTTATAATCTGAGAAAGCTGAGTTGGATTTAACACTCTTGTCCACCTTATGCTCATAGTTATACTTTTGCAAAGCGATTAGCTTATAGGGTTTAGGGTTTAAATTTGGAGTAGAAGAAATAGAAAATCAACAGAAAGAATCTCAATTTCAGAAAAACTTTGAAAAACAAGAGTAAAAACAAACCAGAACGGTGGCGGCGCTGGAACGTTGTTGACAATGGAACGGTGGTGAGTGGCGGGAAGAATTTATTGATGGGTATGTCGGTGGTTAGTGGCGGTGGTTGTTGTTGACGGAGACAACGATGGAACTGAACAGTGGAAAGAGAAGACGCGAAATTGGGCCAATTGGGCTGGTTTGAGTTATATATTTGGGCCTTAACGCCGGAAGCTAAATCATGTGGTATGCTATTTCCCCACTTTTTATTAAAAAACACTTTTATTTTTCTTTTCTAAAATACCACTTCCCCCTATGGATATATACTATTTGAGTTCTAGTTGTTAGATTCATCTTGACACTTTTTTTTTGTGGCAAATTTTATAATAAGTCAATGAAATTTATTATATATCCTATTTGAGTGGCGAATTTTATAGATAATACAGTAGAAACCTATATTTTTCATTTAATACTGAAATTTATATATTCCTTATCTACCTTTGAGCATCTGCTGTGTTGTTGGATTTATCCAATTGGGACCTCTATCTTTTGCAGCAAGGATTCTTTATCCATGGAAAAAAATCGAGAAAATTCATTTTTCTTTTGGACAGTATCAAGACAACTCTTTGGTACGGCTTAAAAGAATAGTTTTCTATTAAGATAACTATACTATACCAATCAAACTCAATTAACACGATCAACAGGAAAAAACCCTGATCCCTAACCCTAACTCCAATTTCTTAATCTTATCCCGAAATTCAACCTCTGTTTCCTGTCTTCTACTGATTCTTAGCTGTCTGATTCGATTCTTCGAAGGTTAGGAGGTTATCTTCGGCTTAAATTCCTAGCTTTTGAATTTAGCGGCCTTGGTAATCACCTGATTTTCTTAGATTGAAACTGCGATTCTTCGGCTTAATCAAACCAGCCTAATTGGCCCAATCTCGCGTCTTCTCAGTTCCGCCGTTGTCTCCGTCAACAACAACCACAGCCACTAACCACCGACATACCCATCAATTAATTCTTCCCGCCACTCACCGCCGTTCCATTGTCAACAACGTTCAAGCGCCGCCACCGGTTTGTTTTTACTCTTGTTTTTCAAAGTTTTTCTGAAATTGAGATTCTTTGAGATTCTTTCTGTTGATTTTCTATTTCTTCTACTCCAAATTTAAATCCTAAAAGCTATGAGTATAAGGTGTCCAAGAGTGTTAAATCCAACTCAGCTTTCTCAGATTATAAGAACTCAAAATAACCCTTTAAAGGCTTTGGAAATTTTCAACATAGCCAAATCAAAATACCCTAAAGATTCCCACAATGGTCCTGTTTATGCCACCATGATCGCTATCCTTGGATCATCAAGTAGACTCAAAGAGATGAGTGATTTGATTGAGCAAATGAAACAAGATTCATGTGAGTGCAAAGATTCTGACTTTGTGTCCGCAATTAAGACATATGCAAAACAAGGGCTAGTAGATGAAGCAATCTCTCTATATAAGAATATTCCTCAGTTTAATTGTGTGAATTGGACGCAATCTTTCAATACCCTTTTGGAGATAATGGTGAATGAGGGTAAGCTTGAAGATGCTCATGGTCTTTTTGTTGAGAGTTCTTGTGGTTGGGAAGTGAAGTCTCGCGTTCGGGAGTTGAATTTGCTTATGTATGCTTTGTGTCGGAAGAGTCGATCGGATTCGGCGTTGTAGATATTTCAAGAGATGGATTATCAAGGTTGTTATCCTGATAGAGATAATTATCTTGTTGTAATGAAGGGATTGTGTAAGGATAAGAGGTTACATGAGGCTACTCATTTGTTGTATTCAATGTTTTGGAGAATCTCTCTGAAAGGTAATGGCGAGGATGTTGTAATCTATAGGACTCTTTTGGATGCTTTATATGATGATGGAAAGTTCGAAGAAGCTGTGGAAATTCTTGGTAAGATTTTGAGGAAAGGACTGAAAGCTCCAAAGCGATGCTATAACCAACTTGATCTTAGTCAGTGTGGTGATGGTAAAGATGCGGAAGTTACTAAACGGCGGATTCACGAAGCTTTGGTAAGGGGTTCAGTTCCTAGCACTGCTAGTTATAATGCCATGGCGGTTGATCTATACGAAGAAGGTAAGATAGACGAGGCGGATAAAGTTATCGTTGAAATGAAAAACAAAGGCTTTAAACCAAAACATTTTATTTTTGAGGCAAAGGTAGCTGCATTGTGCAAGGTTGATACTGTCGATGAAGCGATCAAGGTAATTGAAGAGGACATGGTGGAAGTCAATTGTCTACCAAATGCTAGGGTTTATAATATTCTCTTGAAAACCCTTAGTAATGTTGGAAGTTCGACATTAGTGCTCGAGAGCTTGAACAAGATGTCGAAAAAGGTAGGTTGCATGGGCGACAAAGAAACGTATAACATTTTACTAGAGATGCTTTGTCATGAGAGAAAGCATCTTGAAGCAAGCAAAATTTTGGAGCAAATGTCAATTAAATCATACTGGCCTTGTGCCAATAGTTACAATTTGCTCATTGAGGGTATTTGTTCCTTAGGTTGGCAATACGAAGCTGTTATGTGGTTGGAGGACATGATTAGCCAGGGGAAACTTCCTGAAATTTCTGTTTGGAGTGCAGTAGCATCTTCGTTTTGTAATTCCGATTTGTTGAAAGTGTCAGTCGAGATGTTTAATCGCCTAAGAAGTTTGTGATTCTGAGTTTTGGTGTAAAATATAACGATTATATAATGAACAGAATCGTGCACTACCATTTTTTTCGAGTATACTTATGCTTCTTCATTAGCTTTGAAGCATTTCTTTATAATTCAGCCTTTTCCGAGCATCAGGTCTGCAGGTTATGTTCTGAATGACCGAGTAACCAAACTATTTTGTACCAAACACAACTCTCGAGTATCAAGCCTGAAAGGGTGAAGATGTTCCACCGTGGCAACAACGGGCTAATCATAGCAATATCGATCAACAAGATCTGGAAGATGGGTGAATTAAGCAAGACTCCTTCCTCGACTGATGGCTAGTTAATCATCAAACCAAAATTGTAAAACTCTAACCTCCATGTTTCTGGAGCAGGCTCCGACCATCATGATGCTTGATTGCCTCTGCCATGTGACCACTGTTACTGCTGTCTGGAGTGCCAGCTGCTGCACCGAAAAATGGTAGTACCTTGCATATGCCTTCCTCATCCTCGCCCTTCTCCTCGGTTTTGTGAGTTTATTTCCACCCATCTCTTATCAAGTTTCAAAACTCCATGTTAAAGGGGCTTAGAGGTGTCATGTCACTTAACCAAAAAGTTTATGAGAGGAAACTGTTGGATGGTTCTTCTCATCATTTGGGGGTACTTATTTAGTACTGTTGTGTGCTTTAGTTAAATGTGAGAGTATGAGTTCATAATATCGTGTGCTTTTTATCTATCTGGTTTAGTCCTTTTTGCTTAACTTATCTGATTTTTGTATGCTTGCATTATGTGGGTCTTAAAGACCTATGCGCGATCTCGGTGAGTACCCGACTGCCATGATCTGGGTGAGAACCCATCCACCAAGCACATAAAGACCAGTGATTTTGGTAAGAGCCCGACCGACCGTTACGCACATAACACAATGGGAAAAACATGACTCAGTCTCCACTCTACGTCAACAACAAAGGGCAGGACCGAGATTAAGGATAAGGATGTGTGCCACGCAGTAGAGTGGTGATATTTGTACTGGATGATGTTGTATTTTTGAATAATTTAATATAATGTATTTTGTTGGATATTTTTTATCATAATATCATTTTATATTATCATGTTATGATTAATTAGTGTTGTTTTGGTAAAATACATTATTAAATATCAGCAAAACACACATTTTACCGTATAACACAAGTCTGAATGATATAATTTAAAGGTGTAAAATATGTTAACTATATGTTTAAGATTATAAAATATATATGTATAAAGATAATTTTAAGTCAGATTAAAGAATTTGATCATGTTGCACACGGTGATTTCTTTTATGTGGTGTAGAACAAACTATTGGTGTGTGATTTTTAACACACTAGAAATTTATGTTTATTATAACAAAAAGAAATTTAATTTCTTTTTTCCAATATTTTTAGTAGCTTTTATGTGTTTTGTTTTATCTTTTTGTCGTCCAATGGTTGAGTTTCATCATAACATACACTCTTAATCAAGCCTTGTCGAAGTTTTTCTTCGCAAGCTGTTGGACTCAATATACTTTACTTGGAGCACACATAAAAAATTGGGGTTGTTCTTTCCACTCTATTGTTCTCCTACACCACTGTAAAAAATCTCAAATGTCTCTAGCATCTCCATCTCCATGTTCTGGAGATGTATCTCTCCTTAAAGTGATTGAAGATAACACTCATCAAAACACTTGTGCGTGTAAGACTTTTTCTTCAATAACATTATTTGTTTCTTAATATATTTTCTCTATTTTACATCAATATTGAATTAAAACCACTCAAAGGTACAATATCTATGTTGGTCAGAACCAACACAACACAAGTTCATACATATTGATCATCTATGAACCAACACAACACAAGTTCTTTTCATTCAAAGCCTTTGCAGAATCAAACAAAACCTCTCATATAACTTCCAATTAGGCCACTCTGTCATTGATATTGATCATGTTGTAGACAACCTTGCAAAATCAAACAGAACTATCCTTTCCAATCCACTTTACGGATGTGCATCTCCGAAATCCGGAAATGCATCTCCGGACAATTTTTTAGACAAAATATAGGGTGTCTCACTTGCAACACCTTTGTTAGTATGTTCTTCGATGCATTCGGATCTCCGAACACAGCAAATGCATTTTTGAATTTTTAGAAGTGTGAAACACCATAAGAAGAACAACCCCAAAAATCAAGTGCAAATAATGATTTTTTCCACTATATCCCGAGACCTCCTGCATTTTCTTTTTGGTCAGCACATTTTGATATAATAGAACTGATACCCCTATTTGGTAGTTGAACTTTGGTTAATCAATCCAAGTATCATGCATAGTAAAAGCTAATTTGAACTTTACACTTAAAATTTAAAACCATACTTGATGTTTTAACCTTTTCAGACAATCTCGGTCCTGCCCTTTGTTGTTGACGTAGAGTGGAGACTGAGTCGTGCTTTTCCCATTGTGTTATGTGTGTAACGGTCATTCGGGCTCATACCAAAATCACTGGTCTTTATATGCTTGATGGATGGGTTCTCACCCATATCATGGCAGTCGGGTACTCACCGAGATCGCGCATAGGTCTTTAAGACCCACATAATGCAAGCATAAAAAATTCAGATAAGTTAAAAGCAAAAAGGACTAAACCAGATAGATAAATAGCACACGGTATTATGAACTCATACTCTCACGTTTAACTAAAGCACGCAACAGTACTAAATAACCACCCCAAATGATGAGAAGAACCATCCAACAGTTTCCTCTCATAAACTTTTTGGTTAAGTGACATGACACCTTTAAGCCCCTTTAACATGGAGTTTTGAAACTTGATAAGAGATGGGTGGAAATAAACTCACAAAACCGAGGAGAAGGGCGAGGACGAGGAAGGCATATGCAAGGTACTACCATTTTTCAGTGCAGCAGCTGGCACTCCAGACAGCAGTAACAGTGGTCACATGGCAGAGGCAATCAGGCATCATGGTGGTCGGAGCCTGCTCCAGAAACATGGAGGTTAGAGTTTTACAATTTTGGTTTCTTGATGATTAATTAGCCATCAGTCGAGGAAGGAGTCTTGGTTAATTCGCCCATCTTCCAGATCTTTTTGACCAGTATTGCTATGATGAGCCCGTTGTTGCCACGGTGGAACATCTTCACCATTTCAGGCTTGATACTCGAGAGTTGTGTTTGGTACAAAATAGTTTGGTTACTCGGTCATTCAGAACATAACCTGCAGACCTGATGCTCGGAAAAGGCTAAATTATAAAGCAATGCTTCAAAGCTAATGAAGAAGCATAAGTATACTTGAAAAAAATGGTAGTGCACGATGTTGCACCCCAAAATTTGCTTAACCTTGTTGAGACTTGGTTCATGGTTTCATTGCATTTCATTCATACATTAGCATAAGCATTGCATAGAGATGTGTGCAGAGATCAAGGGATGTGACCATATTTTGAAGACTAATGGGAGGTTTGAGAATCTCTTGAATGTTGCTATTGAGTTCATAAGGGTTGATGTCTCCTCAGATGGAAGTAAAGATCCCCAGAGATAGGGTTGGTTGCCACAAGGAAGGTCTCCTGGTTTGAAAGCCATGGAAGCTACCCAGATGATTCTGAAGCTACAAGTATGATCTTGAAGTCTTGCTAGAGCCCATATGATGTCTTGAGAGCCATCATGAATCTTGAGCAAGTCATTGATTGAAGATTGAGAAGTTTTGCCATGAGTGGTAGAATTAGGGTTTGACTGGTCAACCCTAAGTCAACAGTTGAATTTGAGGAAGGTTGAGACCTATCCCCAATTCCATGAGATCTTGAATTTATGCTTTAAGGTGCCTAGTGGATGGTTCCAAGGCTATTTTATCATGATTAACAAGTTTGAAGGCTAGGGTTGCTATGCTTGACAGTGTAAAATCCCCTAGTTTGATGGCATTTTCCAAGGAAGATAAGTTGAAATGCAAGCCTCATATCACCTTTTGATGGTCATGGGACTTGTAGAGGATGTTGTTAGATTTAATTTGAGTGGTGGAAGTCCTTGAGAGGATTTACAGAACTCAAGTTATAGCTCTTACAAGTTACAGGTCCTCAGAGGGCACTGAATTTTGTCTGCAAAAGTTGTCTGTCTTCCAACCAACTTTTGACCCTCAAGAAGGTTTCAAATGAATTTGTACCCAACATAAGAGTTGTTCCTCATGGTCTACCCTTTCCAAAAAGGTATGGTATGACTTCATCTGATTTTCAGAGCTCAACTTATAGTCAGTGCAATGCAAGGGTATTTTGGTCATTTGGTGATTACAGGTCATTTTAAGCAAAGGCCATATCTCCTATTTCCAAGCTTCAAAGGAAAAACTGCACAACATGAAAGTTGTTCAAACTGACATTTTGATTCTAGAAAAGTGGTCATGAGTTATTGGAAAAGCTTGTAGCAAGGAATGACAAAGTTTGGTGAAAATGGCTTAAAAAAAGGCATATAAGTTAAATAAGTTCAAGTTGGAAAATGGTTTGAGAGATCTACAAATCCAAAATAGGTCATGTGATATATCATTTTGAGTCTAAACAACATTTTGGAAACAATGGTTTAGACACATTTTTGAATTGAGGCCTAAAAATGGGAGTTGCTTTGTAATGTTCTTACTTGCATAATAAGGCAACATTGAGAAACTCAACATAAGGCAAAGGATCAGCTGTTTTAGCACTCATACCACTCCAATATCTCATGAAAGGAGATTTTAACATGTAATTAAGGGGTTGTAAGCATGAGAAGAGATAGTTCAATATGCCATCACATGAGAATTTCCATGACTTTCCACTTCATTCTAGAAGGATCTAGATCTTTCTAATTGGTTCTATATAAAGAGGAGAGTAAGCTGAGATCAGAGGTTGGAGAATTCAGTGGAGAGAGTGAGAGGAGAGAGAGGTATTCAAGGAAATCTTCAAGTGCAAGCAAGCCACGATTTCCTCATTACAAGCTCTCACCATCAAGGGTGGTGCAAACAGAAGAAAGGTTGATACTTGAAGATCATTTTGAAGA